CCCCCCCCAACTATTGCTATACGCTTCTCTACTTCTATCCACATGTCGTTCTAACGTCCCCGGGATGTGCGATAAAGGTTGTTCGACGATTCTGTCCCCTCCTTTTTCTTTTTCCATTAACGGCCTAACATTTTGTAAGGGTCATGGCTATTACACTAGCTACAATATCGCCTTTACTAGGCAAGTACATATAATGTGTTGGTATCTCGTACCCCTAGGGTGAAACTCGACATTAAATATACGTATATACTAGAGTGTACGTGTGTGTGCCTAAGTACGTATTCCACCACGTTAAAGTCATTTTCCCTATTTCAACTTTTGTTACGAGCAGCAAAAAATCGGCGCCAGGTTTGGCAACGAGAAAAGACACTAGTATAGTTGAACCGTATACCTTAATTAAATATATTTGATATGAATGAAAATAAAGCACATATGTATATACATATACATAATATATAAATGGGTCCGTCGTATAGTGTGAGCACATGATATATACATATATGTATATATATAAAAATATGCCAGGCGGCAGTTTCCAGGCCATGCGGCACACACGACGGCAAACTAATATATTTAAAAAATAAAAATAAAACTAAACTTTGGGACATGTGGCATTGGAATTCTAACCTAATCTAACCTAACGTACTACTTCTTAGCCCATCACAACTCCGAGTATCCAGCATTAAACATTTTTTTGAAAAATTCGGTGTGAATGCCGCCAATCAGTCATGGAAGCTTACGATTGACATAAAAGTTTTCCAGGATCGACCTGGAACACAACAGATGTCCTGGAAACTGCCAATACGCATTGAAAAAAGACCTGGAAACACCTCACAATATATTTATATATATATATATGTATACACACATATGAGCCGCTCAGTGCACACATCGATTAACTCCACTTTTTGAAAAATCTTAAATTTAAGTGTCAAAGCACTTGGTATAGTCATAACTTTTTATATTTATAATAACTTTTCTGAATAATAAAGATTAGCACCATTAAACGGCACAATTTCTTTGGCCATTGAATAATAAGTAATTTACAATATACATTACTTCATCGCATTTCTCAACTTTTTGTTTTATGGAGTTAATCGATGTGTGCACTGAACGGCTCATATGTACATATATACACAAGAATCCTTAACTTTCATGACAAAGTATCTATTAAGGTTGATTTATTCAGTTAAACTAATGATATTAATAAAAAAAGATTAAGCAGTAGGATTCCTAGAATTGCAAAAATGTTTGAAAATTCCCTGATGCTTTATAGTCACCTGTACATACAACAAAAAAACGGTGATGTTCATTATAATATTGATTTGTCACATTACACTATATAACTACACATTTCCTTAGTACCTTATTTATTATACCTATATTGTATATTGTTCATTGTTTTAATTATTACTTCCTGACTACCAGTCGTACTTCCTTGTCGTAAGAAATGTCACCAGTAATCCATATCTGTTATCCGAGCATTTGCGAGTGATGGGACAGTAATAGTGATCGGTGGGAGGGGGAGGGGAGTTAGGAAGGCAAGAGGATATTCAATAGGATGATGTAATCTAAGGTACATGGCTGATGTGCGTACGGGTCATTGAACGTCTGGCTGTTTAGACTTAGATCGACTGAAGATAGACCTACAGCTTTTGCGTTCGGCTGTATACTTTTTTCCCTTCTGCCACTGTCTTTCTTTCTCTTTCTCCCCCCCCCTCACTCTCTCTCTCTCTCTCTCTCTCTCTCTCTCTCTCTCTCTCTCTCTTGCTAGTTCCGTACTCTCCACTTCCACTAGTCGTCACATTTTCACTCACTCGAGGTCACGTTGTTCATTATACCTGCATTATATCTACATATGCGTCCTTACTCTGTCCGGTAGACAAGAGTGATGTTTTGTCTGAAGAAATCGTACCGCTAGACGATGAATAGACGCGTATTCACCTCTTTGTCTGGGTTGCTAGACATCAGCCAGACTAGCTCGTCCAAGGTTATCCACGGTCACATATACATATATTAGAAGAGAGGAGCCAGATTCATTTTGTTTATACAGCGTAGAATGGTTTATGTACGCAGACGTATGTGGATTTATACGAGCATATACAAATGAGAGTGTCTGTTGGGTATAACCACTTAGCCTGAATAGAGTTGCCTGGGATTCTAGTGGATTTTAATTTCAGGTCGCGAGTTCCCCTCGAGACACGATAAAATGTATCTAGACCTCTTTTAGCATAATAGTCCAGAGTGGCTTGTCCACGACTAGGTGGGGCCTCATGTAAGACATCATCCTTGGCATAACCAAGCGACGTATTCGTCGAGAAAACGAATTCGCGAGAGGTCGATGACCTTTCTCTTCCGCTTTTGAAGCGTTGCGTGCCTCTTGACAAACCGCACTGTCCACTGGTTGCAACGTTTACTGATGGTTGGATATGAATGATACGGAAGAAATCGATATCTCGATATGCTTTATAAGTTAGGTTGAGAGAAAACGTGAAATAAAAAAAGTATGACTTGTCCGATTTAAATATATCATAGAGTTATGTAAATGTTTTTCTAGTGTGGATAAATCAGGAGGAAAGAAATCGCAGTGAAGCCATCATTTCCGTATCACTCACTCGCTACATGGAAAATAGAAAAAATATGTTTCCGTCATTTGGAACTCGCCGTCTATTTGTCATCGTTGAAGGAGTCACAGGAGCCACACAGTTAACCTTACTCTATTCGATTCACTAGACGCGGCTTCCAGTTTGGCACATACTATTTGTCATCTCGGAAAATGTTAGCTGAACCCCTAAAAGGTTATGACAGGCCA